GTGAGAGCCTCTACAGGATGCAACAAACCATTTCTGAAAAGAGTGCCAACCCTTCTAACGACATCCCTTGAAAGATAAGTCCTGGGACTAAGCTTAGGCGACCCGTGGGGGGATTGTAGGGTGTATGGGCTCTCTGTGTGTAATGTAATGATGGACCCTGAGAGCCTGGTGAGGATGAGACGGGAGGAATAGTCCCGTAATTCAAAAATACATGAAAATGATACCAGATCACTTGAGGACTGCGAAAAATTGTTGAGGTGCTGACGTACCATTATTGCCAATGCTTCATCTGGTGGTGTGGTTGTTCATCATTGTGACGTGCTTAGATCGGGCCAATGTTGCTGTTCACGGGAAATGCGACGACAAGAATGGTATTGTGGTATTGTTTTCGCTTTCAGCACTATTTCATCCCATTAAGTTGGAAATTCCTTCGAACGAAAAAAAGTTTTGGTTCACAATAACTCTCGGCACAACCTCTCCGATAAGGAAGACATAATTTGTTGCCATACATATGGGTGGCCAGAAAACTCTTCATATGGGGTTCCTGGTGGTTATAAGTTGTGCAAAACGGAGAAGCAGACGAATGTTCTCAGGTGAAATAATGATAAGATGTTCATGACAACCAGAAGCGAGCGTTTGTCGAGCATTTTCATACTCAGTAGCATACGAAGAACCGCTCCTTTCCACTTAAGCGATCGAAAAAGCCTAGACGCAACACAACGCTCGACAGGAAATTCTGATCTCGTTCGTACAAAAGGCTATTAAGGAGGCTCGTGATAGAGTACAATGTGTTGCTGATTTTGCAGAAGGAGCCAGGATTTAATTGAGCGTTGAAAGAAAAAGAACGCTAAGAAACGGAAAGCCTTTGCCATCTCCACATTGTGGAAATGGACAGGATTCGGAAGTCGTCAACATCCCTTCGGAAATAGTCGAATTTGTTTGCTGAGGTGCAAACATATAAAGAGCAGACGGCGCTCCTGTCCTTGGGGGGGGGGGCATCAGCAACAAGGCCGATGGCAGGTGACACTGGGACTAAGCCCAGGAGAGGGGAGAAACGCCAGGGAGCACACATATTGCTTGCATCTTCCCATAGAATCCCTTCCCCTGCCTAGGCTCAGTCCCAAGTACAGTAATTGGCTCACTCACTGGGATGTCCCCCCAAGGACATGAGCGCCGAGCAGACAATTGCCAACTAATGTCCGAGTCTTATGGAGTGGTAATCAAGGAAGACTATGAACTATCGCAACAGTGAAGACTCGGAGAAGCACCCGTAATGGCTGTAGAATGTTCTACAATTACAAGGCCAAGATGATATACAGCACCCTTAAAAACTTCAGCATTCTTATCCTATCGAAAACCTTGCGGACTGCTGGAGGACCACACTAAGTCGGTCGCACGGGACCGCCGACAGTTCATGGCAAATAATTCATCATTTGCCCAAACAAGTTTCAACATTATTAGCAGAACAAATATACACTTCGCTTATGATGACTTTGGAAACCTCGATGCCGTAATATTTGTAACAGCTACTACACCAAGTGCTAACTTTCCTCATATGCATCGCAGCATACGTCCGTCTTTTCTCTTCGCAGAGTTCCTTGTAACAAACAGAGCTTCTCCTTGTTTTCTTCATTCAATTTTGTCTGGTTTCCCAATTAGTGGGTTCTTCTCGGCGACGGATTCTCACAAGCTAGGGAAGGATATTTGGTATACCTAGCCAATAAAAACAAGGTGACTGTTCTTTAAACATAATTATGAAGCAGATAAGCGTAGCGGCAGTGACCTGGCCACACAAGAAGGTCATGGACCCGATTCCTTGGCGAGCTTGTTGTTGTTCCATTCCAGTGACATAGCTAGAATGACTCTGGGCATTGTTATTAGAATAGCGCATGCGAACAATTACTTGTATTGAGGATCTGAAAGCAATTCCTAATAACTTCAAGTCAATTTTGCTTACATGGCGCTCATAGCGCAGGCGGTAGATATATTCGTTCAGAACAAGTGTGATATTTGTGATCAGAGAGTCGAACTACCTCGTAAGCCGAATTTGTAGGCTATTCTGAAACTTTGACCTAACGTTGATATTGAGCAGTCACCCGCTTATTCATCAGCCCATTACTAAAGGCTGATATTGAGACATAACTACCCCTCCCAACACACTTCAGAAATGGCTCAAAGCCTGCCTGTATGCATCATCTGAGATCAACAAGGTAGTACTTCCAAATGCAACTCCCTCCCTCACCGCTCCAACGTCGTTCTTATTACTCAACAATAGTGTGACTGTCTGGGAAATGATAACCCACGAGTGCTCCTTTTCTTCGCAATCAAGCTAGAACCCCAGGTTTGGCTAGAATTCGTCTTCGGATTGTCTGACCACCCAATCACGATTATCTGCCTCTTTTTCATGGAAACTCCAGGCGAGTGCACTACAGGCACTAAGAGCACTCGCAGGCAAGTAAATTTTGAAGTCTACAATTAAGTCTTTGCGACGGTATGTACCGTCAAAACCCTATGCGTCCTCTCAAGAGGATGAGCGGTTCGTCTATTGTCACTTCTCTTCCGTAGTAATAATAAGTTCTCTTGCAATTGGCGTTGAATTTATCAACAAATGCTGTTATCCCTATATTGGGAAAGTTCCATAATTTCGTGAGCATTGTCTGGATCTCAACCCACGACCTTCTTTAACACTTTACAATAGTTTTTTGTGGGCTACAGAGATGGCACAATGTGTAGTAACGTAACGAATCATGCCCGTCCTAGTCGCCTTCTTCGAGTTTGAAGTTAGAAAAGAAGAGAGCCTCTTTCAAGCCTCTACTACAAACCTAGACAAACCGATCGGTACCTGAAGTGAGATTTGCGATACATTTCCGATGCATCTCCTTGTCGTTACCAGCCATGCGGTATCACAAGAGATGGACGTTTTTCGCTCATGATACTACATCCTGGAGAAAAACCCAAAATCAGGAAGTTCATCGGTGTCGGATTTGGGAAGGCTACGCTCTCTCATTGAGTCATTTCGCACGAGATAATCTGCTATGTGACCTACACAACCCACCGTTCCAAATGCACAGTTCACAGAAGATTTTACTCCTACGTAGAAGAGTTGAAGCTCTGCTAAACTCTCCCGCATGAACTGACACTGATAAGTGCGACATGAGTTCTATCAATCGCCTGCTTCCTACTCCACTAGTTCAACAAAGCCGTGCTGCAGTTGTGACAACCGCAAGCAGAAGTCTCATGACTGGATCCAGAAAAAAGACCGGAATATGGACAAATGCAACTCAAGGTCATGCTGTGCCTCTTTTAGCGGTCTCTGGTTAACCAAGTGAAACCTCTTCCTCATTACAGCTATGAAAGCAGTCAAGTCTTGTGTGATCAACAACAGAGATCACGGCAAACCGATCGGTACCTGAAGTGAGATTTCAACGATTGTATTTAAACTCAAAAAACATCTCCGCTCCACAACAACCGAGACCACGCGTACTGATGAGACTGTAAATATCGAAGCTCAGCTGAAAAGTGCTACCATGTCCACCGTGTAGCGCTGATCGGCCCTCTCTCGAGGACCTCTGTTCTTCATGCTCAGCGATCACGTTGCGGGCGAATATGGTTTCCGTAAGCACCTCAAAAACAACCTCAGGGCCTTTTTCATCTTGTACCCGCCAGCTTCTGGGAGTGAAGCGGCCTGTATTCTGTAGTCGTTGGCAAAAAGTCACTGTTAGTGATAGTACATATACTGGCGATAGATAGTGTTTGTGCTTGATAAAGGGGGACCAAAGAAGGTCCAAATACTCACAAACTTTCAGGACAACCTAGTGGTTGATCGCCGTCCGGTGTCGTGTCGTCACAGAAATGAAGAGAACGTAACAGCTACTCAAAACGACTTCTTGACATGAATTTCCCTGCGATTGAATGACCTTCTTATGCAGTGCATTACAATAGTCCCATCAGCTGGTCATCTCAACAGCTCTTGAATGCAGACAGAAATAGGCTTTTTCAACAACTCTTACTGGTGCAAAAAGGCCAGAGTCTTTAACTATCCCGAGCTGGCTTGACTCTGTCGCTACTAGCTTCAGAACAGCATCGTCGATGTACAGTTAAAAAAAACGCATTTAGAGCAGGTAAACATCGCATTGTTTAGCCTGTGGTGATGAGGAAAATCCCATCTAATGTCAATGAATGATTACCACCCTGAAGACCACAGAATTGTGTTGCTGTGTAAAGGGAAACCATGTCCAACGTTGGCAGTCATTGTCAAGGGTAATATCGGTCGAGGATTCCTCAATAGCTTGTCGAAGATTTCTGCATGAACAGTTTCGCGCCGACATTCACACTCGCCATGCGCGAGCCGTCTGTGCTCTCCGCGCGTACATTCACTCCACTTTACTCTTGCACAGCACAGATTCGTGGTCTAGGAATCCTTGACCGTTATTCACCCTGGTTATTGCCTTATCTACCTGTTCTCTACATCTGCAGTCTTTTCGCTAAAGATACTAAACAAGGCTGGTTTAGCATACAATTGGCGCATAAATATCAGTTTTTGCTCGCTGTCAATTTGTAGTGTGAGCGGAAAGTTCTAATGTTATTCGCTTAGGTTGTTCGGTACCACCACATTCTTCAGAGACAGCAGTGAGTGAACTCAAAACTGACGAACCAACCAAGAAAAGGAACAGGGAGGAGACGAGCGAAAACAATTTGGATGTCAACCAGGATGAATCCACGTACGAGGAAGAGACGACTGACGATATTTCTGAAGTCACAACTCGGAAAAATCCAATGGCGAAAAGGAAGACAAAGATGGAAAGGGATACAGGTGACCAAACTTAACCCTTGGATTACGGATTTCTTGGAATTGAGTTATCGATTTCTTTAGCGTAGTAACTATCACTCCCAGCAACAATTATTCATTTATAGAAATTTGACTGACGTAAGCCGGATATGACCTGGGGTTTGATCCGGTTGATCTAGAGACATGCGCGCTAGCGGCCCACTTATCACTACACCATCTCCAGTGCGACAATTTTTTTGGAATACTTATTGGTACAATATGGTATAACATGGTATGTAATAGTACAAATTGGTAATTCAATTACCATATTCACAAATACATATTTCAACATTAAGGGCGTGCGAGACTTAAAAGTTACCCTTTTCGGGATGCGCACACCGACTAGTTATTTGTGATACGACCTGACTTTTAACCGATAGACTACGACATTTTCAAAATTAGGCTTCCAATGTGCTTTATGTAGTAACCATAGCTCCTCGCAATCTGTAGAAATTTAGCAAACGCATGCTGGATTTGACCTGGGATTTGATTCAAGGACCACGCGATGGCCGGTAGCGCCTTTCTTGTCACCACACCATCCCGCTATGAGAATTTTCACTTCATTATATAAACCAGAACTTTGGTGTGTCGGTTTGTCGTGTGTGTCGTTCTGTCCGTCCGGACCAACCGCTCACAAAACCAGGGAGTACGAAGGGCAACACTTCGTGATGTTGATGTCATGATCATGATAACACCCACAGCGGCTATATAAACACCGATCGAGCACACTCAGCCTCATTCTACATGGTGCTGCCGTGGCAGCCGGAGGAGAGGGTAGAAGGGAGAGGGGGTAGGGGAGGAAAGAGAAAGGGCAAAGCGGGAGAAAGGGGATGGGCAGGGGAAGGGAGTGCACCCTTCTCGAGATTATGGTTCGATTTGGGTGTTGAGATATTATTGCAGCATCATTGTGATAATACCTTAAAGGCAAATTCCGGGATTTCTGGCGAAATTTAGGTTTTCCCCGTCAAATATGCAGCAGTACGCAAGGGCAGACCATGTGCAGAAGTGGCGGGGCGTTTTGATAAGGTTTAGGCGCTAGGAGCCTAGGTTGGAGCATTGGCGCCGCCCCAACCCCATTGAGCCCGCCCACCGTCCTACGTGATCTTCCAAACAACCACCTGGAACGCTAGATGTTAAGCCGTTGTTTGGAAAGTCGTAGGGGAATATTTAGCGGATTTCAACTGCGAAAATCAACATCAAAGCCTATGTTACGACCATTTTCGAGAACGTTGTCATCATTCTAGTGAGAAGAAAAAATTTTAAGATAGGAAGCAAACAAAAAAAAGCACAGAAAATAGAAAAAATAGGGAAACTAGAAAAATCAGTTTTCATTGCTGACTTTTTGTGGCCGTGTCGGTTGATGGCACAAAGCCAACAGTTGCTGTAGACATGTCCAAACACGTAATTTTCCCAGCCCTGGTTCGTAAGCGACTAACGAAGAGGAATTTCTAATTTTGGAGTTCTTTGGAGGTATTTCCTGCTTTTTTTCATTACCTTCGATCAACTTAGCATCCAGCTCTTCACACTCGAACAGGTGAGTCCCTCGTTTTATCCCGGAGTTTGCCTTTAACGGCTATATAAACACACTTTCAGTCATTTCACAAGGTGTGCAGTGACAGCTGGAGAGCAATAAGGGAGGAGGGGAGGATAAGGTGAGGAGGAGGATCGCAAAGCTTCGCAGGGAAGGGAGGTCCGGCGGTTGCCGGGGGGCCAATCTGGTTGAAATATAAATTGGCAATTCATTTACCATTCACTAATACACTTTCTTCACATTTAACTCGTGGAATAAAGTCAATGAGCGGTTGGGGATCATACGTTGGAAAAACTGCAAGACGCATTCTGCAGAAGCGCTGCGGGTCCATCCGAGTACTTGCGCTATGGCGAGTTTCGTCGTCTTCTGCGGATTCTGCAAAGAGTTGGTGAAACCCAACAGCCTCCATGCGGACGCGTGGCTGATAAGCAAAGAGACGCAGACGCGGCAAAGGGACGAGTCGCAGCGCATACTGTAGCGGTTAGGCGTCAGGTTAAAGAGAGTGTACCATACTACGTCTCATATCGCACAGCACGCGCTGCAACTCGTCTCTTTGCCGCATCTGCGTCTCTTGCTTTCGTGCGCGGTGGAACGAGTATGGTGCGCGGTGGCCTGTTGGCGGGACACCCGAACCGCAACACTGTCGGTGGAACAACCGCGTAGTTGCCTCTGGACTTAGTTTCAGCTGATGTAAATGCTCCCTATCTCTCATCGCTTTGTTTGTGGACTTGCAGATGCTACAGAGTAGGGCAAGAAACACCAAACCACTGCCGCTCAAAGGAACAAGGAGTGTGAGCTGCAGAATTACCTGGTTGGGAAGTGCGTATACTGGGCCAACGGATTCCGTGCAGCTATAGGTTCTGTTGCTTACTGATTTATTCAGGTAAATCGTTTTACTTACAAAGATTTGTTTTCAGAGTAAAAGTTATAAAGTCCTCATATGTGCACAATTTCGCCATCAGCGGGCGCTCCAGTCTGCAAAAGTCCCAAAACTGTGGTACGGCCTTTGACTGCGGAAGTGATTATGCCACAGTCAGCGCCAGCTTAGCTAGTATCCGAGTTTTTGGTACCAGCAATGGTCAAAGAGTAAAAGCATGCCATAACGATAAGATCAAGCTGATGCGGTTCTTGCACATGAAAATGAGGGCTTAATGGTCGATAGCAAAAAAAGAATCGGTCAACAACGCAAAGAAAGCTTGCTCACTTCTGGACTAAATCAATGACGAACTGATGGTGAGCCGGAGGAGATAGATATGTAGATGAGAGAGCATGTTGGCAGTAGTAGCAGTAGTAGTAGTAGTAATATGTACAAGTAGTAAAAGTAGAAGCAGTAGGTAGAAGTCACTAATGATTGGATTGACCTGGACCGTGCGATGAAGCTTGTAGAAGCGTGACCAGGATCTTCCGCTTGGATAGACAAGCCAGGCATGGCGCTCCCATGAGCAACTCACTGCGCCACTCAAATGGTTCGGTAACGCTGATAGTATTTCCTGGGTTTGTTACTATTAGTTGTTTGGTGTGGAAGAGGTCGTGTTTGGAGATCTTCACAGGGTCGCGGGTGCGTTCATGCCGCCATGGGGAGGGCTCGCTGATCGTTTCCGATCGGATTACAGTGGTGGTGCGATGGTGAGGGGAAGAGGGGGGGTGGGTGTACGCTCGTCTTGGCCGGCTGTTGCTAATTTTAGCACATTTTGTGAGTGGATTGGGCAAGAGAGCACTAGCCCATTTTCGTAGCACATTTATTTCGGCATTTTGGAAGAAATTAGAGCAGCTACGAGCGAACCGCCTCCAGTCTGTCAAGTAGTCTCGGAATCAAGTGCTGTAGGAAAAGGCTTTACGGTAGTGAAGGTAGTAGCGGTGAGAGATCAAGTCGAAACTTCTTAGGGAAAGGAGTGAGTCGTAGAATTTTTGAAATCGGAACACATCCTGTTGACTGCTTCTAAGAGCACACGCCGTAAGCGAAGCTTGTGCGACCAGCTCAATGGATTGAGTTGTCCCATAACTTCTTACCGAATTTTAACGCTTCGACTTCTTCGAGTTTTCTTTCCAAAAAAAAAACAGTTGAGGAATCATGGGACAACCTAATACTTGTGAGACCCACTCAGAGAAAATACACGTTACTGCCATTGCCGAGGTGAATTATAAATGCAAACTCAGTAACCAACGTGACATCAATAATCAAGAGCGATAATAAAATAATGAAAATGCGGGCCTCACATATGTCCGCACTTTCACAGTGGGGAGTATTCGTATGGCTTGGTTCTTTTTTTACATTGTTCATAAGTCAGCATTGCTTGCACACCTTACTGGACACGGAAAACTATACTTTGTGACCCAAGTGGGTTCAGAAATAAAGCGCATCTGATGACTTTCCTCTAAATGATCATCGAAACCAGCGTATCAAGTAGGAATAACAATAAAGAAATTTATCGCATAATTGTGAGTGAGCAGTAACATTCCTCCCCACGTCCTCTACAGTTATCTCAAAATGCCGACTCATGATCCATTTGCTTGCGCTACATACTCTACATACTCTAACTTTCTAGATAATGACGCAGTAAACCTCATAATGGACTTTGCCCAAATATCAGACACAGTTATCCATTTGATCAAGGAAAAGTACATGAGTGCAAAAACACCATTCGGGAAAGTGAGTTGTAGTTTTTACATACCGAAACTAGGAAAAGTAAGGTTTGTCAATATACGAGAAACTTAATAAACTTAACAGCAAACAGGTCCTATTGCATCCCACTCCGATCGATCGTTTTGTCCCTATTCCCTGAATTTGAACGCTTCTATTGATCTTACTCGAAGCGTCTAGCTGCGAAACGGCATTCGTTCCATGCGCCGGTTTTGGCTCCGCCCTTCCGTCCCCACCGTCCACAAACTGGGGTTTTCAAAGGCCTGACCTCCCAAAAACATAATTTTTATTCACAAAGATTCACATCCCATCTTTGAAGTAACCACAAAATAGCACTCTTATGGAAAAAATGGGAGGGAGCAACTTTTCGTGAACGATCCCTTTAGGAATGAATGAATTTTTCTGAAGACTAGTAGTATTTCTTCACACGATCAAAGATTTTCAGATGAGAGATCTTCCCGGTAGAGAAGGAAGACTCTTCAACATGCAGAAACGAATGTTTTTAGAGCTACCCCCAGCAGCAAGAAAATTCATTAATTCAGTACGTGTGTCCTTTTTCATATAAATGACAGATCTTTGTGAGACTCCAACACCCTTTCGTTATTTCAGGTGTTCAGCTATGCATTTTTACAGTTGGATGGGAAAATGACAAAAGAGCAGTCCGCTCAAGCGTAATTTTTGGAATCATGGATCCTACGTGAAATTCCGCCTTTTTAATGGATTTTTCAGAGTGCTGAAAAAATACCGCAAACTCAGTTATAAGACATGCAGCACACTAGACGAAAGTCTTTTTGAAGATATCGTGGACGATCTTGGTAAGTACTGCTATGCAGTTTTGTTAACACTTTTAATGGATATCTAAGGCTAATGTCAGAGTCCGCGATCCGTCGCAGGTTCGCGCGATTCGCGCGACGGGTCACAGAAATCACAAGTGCCCGATCAATACTGCAAGGTGCTCTCCAATCCCGCCGCCATTGCTGGTGATGGCTGAATGACGACTGTTCATGATTCTACTTGTTTCATATTCAGTGTTTCAAATGTTCAAATGGGCACTTGCGATTTTTGCGATTCGCGCGAGTCTCGCGAAAATGCGACGGATCGGGGACTCTGACACCAGCCTTACACGTTTCACAAATTGAGGACGACGCGAACTTTACTGATACTGATGATGATACTAATCTGAAGGCTATCGGGGAGAGTTGGCAAACGTATATACGACAATCCGCCAGTTGTCGGATCTCGCTAAGACAAGATTATAAGTTTAGAAACATAGGATGTATACCGTAACCCGCATTAGTGTCAGGCAGGGTCAACCCTGCGTTGCGCAAAGAACAACGAGGGGGTCGTATTCAGCCGACCGAAAAGGGAGGGGGTCGTATCCACAGACGGGCTGCAAGACGGCTTGAAAAGTGCAGTGTCCGGGAGTGCACTTTCAGCCTCTAATGTTCTCCAGGAGCTCTGCACGCTGTCGGAGAGTCACACAGACATGAGCTCCATGGGAGCATTAAAGCATGCAGAGCACTATAAGTCTCACCATCAGCTCATCCTTAATCGACGCTATTTGGACGGCGCTTTTGCTCCGCGGCATAGATCAGGAGTACAATAGACAAAAGCCAAAAACTT